AAAATAAATGTAAGAGTTTTTAGAGTGGGGAAGATGTTATAAAATCTTATTCGTATTATTTTTTATATTTAATTTCTAGGTCCAATTCTTGTTTAATTTTTATATCCACCCATGTGTTTTTTTCTTTGAAAAGTGAGAATTGGTGTTGGTCAATTTAAAGACGGTTGCTCTCATGTTGTGAAATTGTTTTCTTCCATTTTTTTCCTTATATTTGTATACAAATTATGTGGTAGTCTTGAGATATAATTATATGATGTCCCAGCTGTGTTGTGATTGATGAAAATGGTGATACTCACAATTTTAGTTGTTACTAGGATAAAAACCATAAGTTCCATGAATTTATATATATTTATTTGTAAAGCAAATTTGAAAATTAATTGAATTGGGTTTTGGATTCTATGCTGGGGACATATGTATTATATGTGTATATATATATATATAAATCATTTGAATTGAGTTTTGTTTATTTGCTAAAAATAAAAATAAGAAAGTTCAAGTATGCAATGAATTTTGAATTTTTTTTTCTCCTTTTCATTTGTTTTCTCAACAACTTATTAATGCTTTCTTATTTATTGGTTTCTATTCAACTTTGAATGTACGTGTTGGTAGTGAACGGTGAAAGGGTGAGATGAAATTGTGTTGGGATCTAGTGTTTTGGTGGTGAACAAAACATACTTTGTAATTGATTCAAATATTGGGATTTTCTATCTAAATCAATCTATTACACTTTAAATAGGACTTAATAGTTAAACCTATTATGCTATTTCAATCAATCACAGAGTGTGTTTTTGTTCACCTACTAGCTCGAATTAATTGTCCGTTAGATGGGTGTGGCAAAATGTTGTTATGCTTAGTCAATTTGACCATTGTTAGGGAACCTAAAATATGATTTTGTCAGTATGTTATAAAACAAATATAATGATAGGTCAAGTGGTTAGTGATCAATAGGAGAGTTGGTGTTTAATTTTGATTTATCTAATATTTTTTGTTTTTGTTTTTGTTTCTATTTTGTCTTGTTTTTTTAAAGATGTGTTAAAATTATTAATGACCATTTTTGTTAGTTTTTATTTCTTGCTTGCATATAACCTTGAAACTTGTATTAGAATCTTTATTAAAGATTTGTACATATATTTGGTGAAACTCTTATTGAATTTTTCAATTTAAATAGTTCATAAATACACAAGTCTGTATTATACTATATTGCTCCTAATCTTTCATTTGTGATCAGACATAGATAAAAGTTGGATTGCCCTAGATAGGACGGCTGATGGAAGGATGAGTAAACTATATAATGATGGGGGGTCAAGTTATTTCTTCAATTTGCAATGGGGGTTTTAGATCAGAATGGTAATATTTTGTGCCCGTGTATAAAGTGTGTGAATGTTTGTAGACAAAATCTTCAAAATGTGGAAATTCATTTGCTCTAATATGGGATTATGCAAACTTACACTATATGGCACCAGCATGGGGAACCCCGTGTTTCAAACGAGGCTTATCATGATGATGAGATACGACTTGATGGTGATGAAATTTTAGGTGGTATTGATGCCTTAGTGGAAGATCAAATAAGAGGGGAATCGACTAATACAACCCAAGGAGAGGAAGTGAGAACTTTTGATAAGTTGTTGACCGATGCCAAGCGTGAGGTGTTCCCGAATTGTACAAATTGTACTTTGTTGAAGTTTGTGATCGAAGTGCTTAATATGAAGGTAACAAATCATTAGAGCAGTAAGTCAGTTGACATGCTGCTAGAGTTTTTAAGTAGACTTTTACCAAAAGAAAATTTGGTTCCAAAGTCAACTTATGAAGCTAAGAAAATACTGCGTGACTTAGGCTTATGAGCTCATTGATGCTTGCATAAATGATTGTGTATTATTTTGGAAGGAGAATGCAACACTAGATAAATGTCCAACTTGTAAGACATCTAGATACAAGATCAATCGTGGAAGGGGTAAGAAGATCCCCCATAAGGTATTGCGGTACTTTCCTTTGACACCAAGGTTGAAAAGATTGTACATGTCAAGGAAGATGGCTGAGGACATGAGATGATACAAAGATAAATGAGTGGACGACGAGATATTAAGGCATGCCGCTGATAGTGATGAGTGGAAGGAATTCGATGCACAACATCCAGAGTTTGTGTTGGAGCCTCAAAATGTGAGGCTAGGGTTGGTCGTTGATAGGTTTAACCTTTTTGGGAACATGAACAACTCTTACAGTTTGTGGCCCGTCATACTCATTCCATACAACTTGCCACCTTGGTTGGTTATGAAGGATCCATTTTGTTTGATGTCATTACTTATTCCTGGAGAATAGAAACTAGGGAATGATATTGACGTCTACATGCGACCATTGGTGGATGAGTTGAATGAGTTATGGACAAATGGTGCACTAACTTACGATGCCTCCACCAATGAGACTTTTCAAATGCATGCAGCTTTGTTGTGGACAATACACGATTGGCCTGCTTTGGTGACATATCTGGGTGGAGAACAAAGGGTTATTATTCTTGTTACACTTGCAATGATGAACCATATTTTGAATCTTTGAGAAGTAAGATTGGGTATACTAACCATTGATGTTACTTGCCTGGAGACCACCCAGAAAGGCGAAAGAGTAGGGCTTACAATGGTAAGATTGAGAAACAGAAGAGATCTTTGGAGTTACTGGTGGAAAAAATACAAGAGCAATTGGAAAACATGACAGGTGTCATACATGGAAAGCATCCAAGTAATAAGAAAAGGCCCCGTCAAGCACCTAATTAGACAAAGGTAAGCATCTTGTATGAGCTACCCTATTGGAAGAAGCGAAAACTTCACCACAACATTGATGTCATGTATGTGGAGAAAATTTTTAGTGAAAATGTTTTTGGAACTATGTTAGGCATTGATGGAAAGAACAAAGACACAGACAAGGCACGGTTAGACTTGAAAGATATGGGTATAAGGAAAGAGCTATGGCTAACATAACAATCCGATAGGTCATATGTCCAGCCTCAAGCAAGCTTTTCATTGACACCTGCAGAGAGGGAGGGTTTCTTTGAATTCTTAAAAATTGTCAAGTATTCAGATGGGTATCCTGCAAACATATCCAAATCAGTGAATGCAAAAAATGGTAGATTAACAGGCCTAAAAAACCACGACTGCCATGTACTTATACAAAGAATTCTTCCCATTGGAATGCGTGGTTACATGGATAAAGAAATTAGTACAACACTTTTTGAGTTAGGCAATTTCTTCCAAGACCTATGCTCTAGGACACTAATGCGGAGTGAACTGGAGAAATTAGAGGAACGTATAATACACATTTTATGCAAACTTGAAAAGATCTTTCCTCCAGCCTTCTTCGATGTGATGATCCACTTGGCTGTTCATTTGCCTCGTGAGGCTATTCTTGGAGGACCCGTGCAATATCGATGGATGTACCCAATTGAAAGGTATTTTTTACACTTATATTTGTAAATGAGATGTGGGTAATTGTGTTGCATGTGTAACTATACTCTTAATTGGTTCTCTCTTTAATGTTTCTTGGAGCATTAAAAAAGTTTGTGACCAACCGAGCTCACCGGAAGGTTCAATTGCTGAGGCTTACATTGTCAAAGAGTGTATTGCTTTTTGTTCAATGTATATTGATGGGATTGAAACCGTTCATAATCAACCAGAACAGAATGAAGATCGTGGTGAATGTCAACTAGGGTTAACAATATTTACAGAAACTGCACGTCCAATTGGTCTAATCACATGGGATGCTTAAATGTCTCAACAAATTCGTGATATTGCTCGTTGGTTTGTGTTGTACAATAGCCCAGAGATAGAGAAGTATTTGGAATATGTGTTTCATTGAATTATGTTTATGCTTAGCTTTTTTATTAGTGGTACGTAGTAATCACAATTTTTATATGTTGGGAACACAAAAATCAATTACAAACTCGAGCTGGACATGACATAACCCATATACAACAACAAGAATTTCCCAAGTGGTTCAAAGAGAGAGTAAAACATTTATAATTTTTCGACATTTACAATTTAAACAAAATTAAAGTTTTATAAAATTTCGTCATTTATAAATTATTTACTTATTGTTTGTTATATGTAATTGTAGATAAATAGATTGAAAGTTGAAAAGTCATTAGAGGTAACCGATGAATTGTGGTCATTAGCAAATGGTCCTAATTTGCTAGTGAAAAGGTACTCAGGTTGCATAATCAATGACAGACGGTTCCATACTCGAGATCTAGACAATCGTCGTAAGAGTCAGAATAGTGGTGTGCTTACATAAGGGGATCATGAAGGAAAATTGCATGACTTCTACGGTCACTTGTGCAAGGTTTTGGAATTTGACTACATGTGTGATAAAAAGGTTGTTTTGTTCTAGTGTGAATGGTACAACACCGGTAACACTGGTAGAAACAGAACAATACGATTTGATACATATTGCACAAGCATTGACGTGAACAATCGATGGTACCAATCCGACCCATTTATCTTACCTAGTCAAACTAAGCAAGTCTTCTATCTAAATGACACCAAATTGGGTGAACCTTAGAATGTCGTACAAATGGTGGAACATAGGGGTGTCTTTGATGTTCCAGAAGCTAGTGATGAAGAATTATTGGATCCTGCAGAAAATAATGATGTGTTCCAACAAGAAAACATTACTGATGTTGTTCCAATTGACATTGACCCAATTGTTCGATATTGTAGGGATGGTGTTGAATTCAATGTTATTTCGACAGTAAGGTCATTAGATGAGATAATGGAAGAGCATAGAGATGACGAAGGAGATGAAGAACATGATATTCCTGATGTTGATATGGATCCTGATATGGATTATGATATGTAACTTTTTATTTTATATTTTCTTTTTGAACAAATGTTATTAATTAATGTAATGTTTTCTTTATATGTTTATCTTACTTGCTTTTTCTTCTTTTATGTAATGGTGCATAATTAAATTGTCTATATTTTCCAATTAAAGTTGAATTATGTTATATAGTTGTAGAAAATGGTCAAAGGCAAAAAACAATGGCTGAAACCAGGTGATTTGAGAACTAAGAAGCTAACAGAATATGAGAAACAAAGAAATAAGCAAATCAAGGAGAGCTGTGAGGTAATGAACAATCTTGAAGTAAAGAATGTTACAAATTCTTTGGTCAGTGCGGTTCATCCCAAATGTGCAAATACAAAGGAAAAGGGAATTAGGGTTGAGGTAGATGATGATGATGAGAATAAACCATCAGAGAGTGGGGATGACAATGATGATGAGTCATTGGGTTCCTTTGACCGCGAGGTATTATAAATATTATTTTATATTTGTGTGCGAACTTGTTTTTTACTATTTACATATCTTCTTCATATATCTTAAGCATCATTATCTTTTTGAAAATATATTTTAACTGTATTAAATATCTTTTTTACTATTTGATTATGTTATTTCAGGATCAAGAGATGATGCCACCTGGACTCCGTTTACAGTCTCATTCAAGGCCATTAAATCCCACTCCAGAGGAAGGGACAGATCCCTTATGTCAGGACATTGGTACCTAACCCTTACTACCTCATAATGTGCAACCTGAGCACGAGGTGACTGCATCTAGCAGCATTCGTAAGTTTGCAAAGTTACTTTTAGGGTCTAACTTCCATTTGTTTACTTACTAACTCAATTAATATTATGTCCTTGCAGCATCACAGACACGCGGTCGTGGCCCGACACACGGCATATAGGCCCAACGCGTTGTCGATAAGGATGGAAAGATGTTGGTTCCTATACCTGAATAGTTTCGTGCGCCAGTAAGAGAGAAGGCCTCTAAGCTGGCCTCCAAGATTGGCATAGAGGTTCGAACACAGTTACCAGACCTAAGTGTTTGTAGGTGGAAAAAGGTGAACAATGCTGAAAATGAGCCAATGATCCAACGTTTGGCGGTAATTATTGTCAAACTCTTATCTTTGAAGTTGTAGCATTGTTTGATTTCTTTATTATTTCTCATTTAATGGCCTATTTTCTGTACATTCTGCTTGGGACCTATTTAGAGTTCATAGGCCTAGAGTAACTTGGCATAGACTCATTTGGTTTAACTTATACATCCCTAGATTTAGTACTGCAGTAAAAGTAATAACAAGAAATAACATATCTGGAAACATAATTGTTTTGAAAATTCATGTTTAGCTTGATGATGACGAGGATGGTATTTGTGTTATAGAGAACCTGAACATAGGAATAGCCACTTGTCAATACCATGTACACAGTAGGCAACATTGGTCCCAAGACATGAAACATCAACCCAGCAGAACTGGGACCATGATTTAAGCATGATTGAAACACATACAGTACGCCCAAACTACTAGCCATACGCCAAAACACGATATATCTCTTACACAGCCCGTAGGAGTTGGCCACAAAACCTATAAGGACACAAATCAGACCAGTCTCAAAAGGTTTATACGTATAACAACTATGAATAAAATTAAAACTGAGAGGGTAGTAGGGCGCATGATGCTGCCACCACCAATACCCCTTATCTTTGGATAGGCGCACAATGCAGCCATAACCAATCCACAAAACCACCAGAATAAACAGCCGAATTGCCACCATTACACCAGCAAGGCACAACTGCAATATGATAGAAGTCACCAAGCTAAAAAAACCTAGAGGCCTACTCAATATAACCTGCCAATAATGAAGAATGGAATAAGCATTACCCAAAAAGAAGTAGTACAAATTCCATAGTAGCATTAGGCTTAAGCACACAATATTTGAGCTCACACAACTCAACCCACAATTTAAGATCTCACATACCTCTGTAACAGCTTCCTTAACCTGTATATAAAGCTTTACCATATAAATAACATTAGTACATCACCCATATCAGACCTAAACACACTCAACCCATAAAATTCACACTCACAGATTTGAAAATGTAACATTTTAGACTATATGTCTCACAATCACTCAACCCTCACAACCTGCAATTAAGCTCTTCAACCTACTTCACAACAAGAAAACAAATTAGTGTAACACTCATTTATGCTAATCTTTACTCAACTCTCATTTAGTGAACTCACATCTCTCACCAATCTCTCATTTCTAGTCACATGGGGCTTCAAGATAGTCTTAGGCAAATTCCACTGAGCAAGAAACCAGTCATCCCCTGTTGATCTAGGCAACTTGTTTGTGGTTCCCCTTATCATCTGAATAATTGCTTTGGTAACCACCTCTTCAGGTTTGAATTCTTTGTTAAAATTCTATTATTCCTTTCAAGCCAGATGTGATAGATAGAGCATAACAAGGACAGTCTAATAATTATTGATCTCCAGGATTTACTTTTAGTCTCTGTTATGGCATAAGCAAACAAATTAGGCCATTGAAGTTTAGGCCAGGACTTAGCTTTAAGAACGTTCCAGATCCTAGTGGAGAACAAGCAGTCAAAAAAAAGGTGAGAATGACTCTCAACAGGACCTTGACAGAAAGGACAGGTAGGGTTAGGAGTTAAGCCAAACTGTTGCAACCTATTCCCAATATTCAGTCTAGAATGAAGAGCAATCCAAACTATGAAACTGACTTTAAGGATCATGTGAGGTCCCCAGATATGCTTATGCCAAGTAACTTTGTCAAATTTATGCCTCCAATGATCCTAGGTAGATTTGATAGTGAATTCCCCATCAGGATTGAGCTTCCAAACAGGTTGATCATTTCTGGAGGAATCAGGTTTATAACTACAGGGAGTAGAGGATTAAGCTTAAGAGAGGAATCAGGTTTACAACTATTTAGTAGGTTGAGAGTTAGTCAAAAAAGGTCAGTTATTCAAACTAGATGATAAAATTTTATTTTCATTGGCAGCTTTTATTTTGGTTTCCAAAATTCCCATGACTTTAATATCCTCTTTAACCATAAAACTTTTAACTTCTTTATGCCTAGAAGGATCATTGAACCCTCTAACATTCCAAGATGCAATTTTAAAAGTCATTTAAAACAAAATGGGACAAAACTCAACCCACATCCAGATAAATTAGGACTTACTTGTTAAATGGGACAAAACTTTCTAATTCTGTGCTGGCTATTGACATGTGATTATATTTATAAATCTAGTTCTTCGGTAGTTTAAGCAAAAACCTTGTTAATACTAGGTAATGATCTTTGGGAGTTATTTTATTTTATTGTAATTGATATGAATCCATCAAAGTTAATTTAGCTCTTTGGATGAAGTATAATCGTAAAAATATACATTATTCAATTAAGGACATAGCCTACAGGTTGGAGTGCATAAGGGGTAGCTGAGTATATTTATTGATGTGTGGATAGATGTTGTTGCTACACTATGTTGCTTTTGATCCTCAGCTGCTGCAGTTCTGTGGTTGTGCTATAGACTAGGTGTGGACTTTGTAATATTGTGATTGTTTACTAGTTTTACAAATAATTTAGCTCACAGGTTGGAGTGCATAAGGGGTAGCTGACTAGGTACTCTTGAATCAAATGGCCTATTTTCCTGTTTATGCACCATGGTTTGTGCAACACTTAATACCCCATTTTCATGTTTGTGCAACCATTGTTTGTGTAACACTTGGTACCCATTTTGAAATTTCATGCAATAGAGATGCATACTAAGTTATTATCTTAGGAACTTTTAATTATTTAAGAATAGTTTTCTCTCTTTTTTTGGATGGCTGTAATGGTTATTGGTTTGATAGTTAAAATTCAGGATGCATACTATATATACTTACTATTGCATGTGTTAAAAAGTGTGCTTGTGACATGCACCTTGTGGATGCTATAAATTAACTTGCTGTTGTTGCCCTGCTGCTATGCTAACTATGGCTCCAGCCATGCTCATTGTTGTGTTCTTCACCTCTGTAGCAGCTTTATTGCTATGATTCCTTTTTACAGCAGCTTTGTGGTTTGCTGCTGTCTATAGCCCCAGCCCAAGTCCAGACCAACCAATAAACATAATAAACATGAGAAGAAAATAGCCACCAGTGAGTAAATAAAGAAGATCAACCAAGACTATATAGGAAAAAACACTTACCACACTTGGTTAATGGCCAGATGTAGGAACCAAATTCAGTGTAGTGAGTTTGAGTGTTATGATGAGACTCAATAGTGTTTTTTTACTAAACAATTACAAATTTTGTTTGTTTTGGGATCTCAAGTAGCTTCATTTCATTAAATATGAAGCATGCAAGGCCCATAAAGCCTGTTAAAAACCTAGATGGACTATGTGCCCATCACATCAGTCCAGGGCCAATGGTGTGTAGGGCAAGTCTAGTATACAGGCCCATTAAGAACCCGTATGAAGCCTGAGGCATGTTAGCAGAGCATATATAAAGCCACCCTCTTTTTTCAGGCCACTCTCAAACTAAAATCTAGGGTCTTTGCTTCTTCATTCGTCTCTCTGCTAAATCTACCTAATTCTTCATAATGGTATTCTTTCTCTCTCTCTCTCTCTCTCTCTCTCTTGATTTTGAGTATCTTAAAGCTCGGTTTTTGTATGAACAAATCTTTGGAAACACGTGATTTTATACATGTAATTTGATGAATTTGTGGAAATGTTAGAGATTTGTTTATATATTGTTTGCTTAATTGATTTTGTTTTAAAAATAAATTACTAGGATCAATTTGGATTCAATTATGAAAACTGATCGTTATTTGTTGAATTCATCTCTTTAGATTGAGTAGAGAGAAGTTTTGAAAGTGATACCACAGCTTATACAGAGCACACATAAAAGGCTTGATAGTTGATGGGTTTAATGCTTGATATTCATGGAAGAAGTGATACTAGTATGGTTATGGTTATGGATATCGATGATAAGATGGTGTTAATTTTTTATTTACAAAAATGTAGTGATTAAGTAGTGGAGAACAAGCTGGTGTAACAATTTTTCAAAATAAATAGTGATGGTAGCCCATGGAGTGTAGTAGAACTAGTGTAGATGAATTAGGGTAGATAGTTGCTGAAATATTAATTGTTCCGGGTCAATTTAGGTATGTTGGATTTGTTGGAACTTGGATAGGGTTGTTATTGGATTGCAAAAGGGTCTATTTCCATGTCATCCTTGTCTCTCTCTTTTTTTCCTTTTATAATAAAAAGAAATAAACAAATAACATTTGATAATCACTTATGCTGTTTTTCCAAGAAACCTGTATGGACAAAGCATCCATTATTATGGAGTTCTTTGTTTTCATAAGATGATCTGTTTTGCTTACTCTTCCAATGTTGCTTATTGTGATTTTCAACGTTCTTCCTTTCCTAATATCAAAGAATATCAAAGAATGTTATTGTACATCCTTTCCTGTTGTGTTTCACAGTTGGTTGCTGCTATGTCTAATTGTGTATGTGAACAAGAGAATAGGTTATTTAACTTATGAAAAAAAATTATTTGATTTTGCAGGATCAGTTTGATCTACTAGGAAATCAGAGCGATGTAGCAAAGGCTTTAGACATACAGTTTGGTCGGCAATTAAGTGGCTTCACCTATAGGTTGCACAAAAAATACAAGCAACTTAAGGATGCAAAAGGAGAGGAGCACCAACATGCAAGTGTTGCACGTGATCAATGGACATCTCTAATTGACAAGAAGTGGAATAGTAAAGAAGTGGAATAGTAAAGAATTCAAGGTAAAATATTTTATGTTATTTGTCAAAAATTAAGTTTCTTCTTACTAATGTTAAGTTTTCTTATTTTATTGGTGTTTCAATCGTGTAAGAACAATCACTAACTAATGTGAATAATAGGATGCAAATGAAAACAAAACATTGATGTGGATCAAAATCAATCCCGGTCAGAGTGTTCATCTCAGTGCGTTCTATTAATTTTTTAATTAGATTAGTAGGCTTTGTTATTTAAATATTTGAAATTACATTAAAAAAAAAACAAATGAATCAGATAATTGCAAATGGAAAGTGCCCGATTTGGCAGAATTTTACAAGTCCATCCCCTACAATTCGGACACGCATGAATGGATTTCGTCGGAGAGCCAAATTAATTATGTATGTACAAGGCAATGCTTTGTGAGTTTGATAAAATTATTTATTTTGCTTTGTAGGGTAGAATAACTAATAATTGTTTGATTTATTTCAAATTAATAGGACAACATGATACAGACGCAAGCAAAACACCTCTCGGAGACTGGTGCAATCCCCTTGACCCCAGAAGAGTTGTCAGTCAAGGTGCTTAAGCCAAGGGCAGATTATGTGAAAGGACTCGGCATGAGGCCTTTTTCTTCTATGAAGACTACTGTTGCACCTGCTGAAAATAGTGACTATGTTCAACGCCTTGAGATGCAAATAGCACAGCAAAATGAACAAATTGCAAGGTTTCAAAAGTCAGAGAAAAAACAAAACAAGAAGATACAAAGTATCATATAGTATTCGAGGCAGAAAGGTATCACGAGAAATTTTGAGAGTGGGAAAAGTTTAGATTCTGATGAACAAGCTTCTTGGTTAGTATATCATGTTTCTATGTTAATTTAGTATAAACTTTCTTCTTCAACTAGGGTAAAATAAAAAACTACTTTGACAGTTAGGCACGAAAAGTCCCAGAAAAATAGTGAAATATGCATGTAAAGGTCCGGGAAACATCACAAACAGCTTGAGATGGAGCAACATAAATTGTGCAAATTTACGGAACAAGCACGTGGCTCTTGATTTGAAAACTACTTTGAAATTTGCACTATTCCAATGCTTAGGCACGAAAATAAGTCTTGGGGAGGGGGGGAAAGCTTCAAATAGGCATGAAAAGGCTCGGGAAATATCATGAACACCGCGAGAGGAACCAATGTAAATTGTGAAAACTTATAGAACAAGCACGAGACTCCAAAAAATTTACCATTGTATTCCAAACTTATAGTAACCAATGTAAGTTGTGGAAACTTATGGAACTCGCACGGGACTCCCATTTTGAAATCTAAGTAGAAAAATATAGTTTTTTAACACTTAGGCTTGAGAATAGGCCATCGAGGGGCCAGAATCGTAAAACAACCACAAGAAGGCCCGAAGAACACCCCGAACACCTCGGGAGGGACCAATGTAAGTTGTGGAAACTTACGGAACTAGCACGGGACTCTCGGTTTGAAAACTAAGTCGAAAAATGCATT